GGCGGTTTCCGGCGGGTCGGAGCGTTTTCCGGCTAAATCCGGCGAAATTGACGGCGGGCACCAACTCCAACGCGGTCGTGGCATCCGGGCGACCTCCAAGGACCCCTCAATTGCAAGATTTGATGAAGATTTGCAAAACCCCCATTTTGGATCCAATTTCGAATTTTAGGGTTTTTTCGAGTAGAAAAATTCAGATTCGAGAAGTTACAGGCCAAATTAGACAAAATGGTTTGGATATTATTGATCCTCGTCTCAAGACGAATAGAATGACATTGGTCCCGCCGGAATCGGAAAAAGTTCATTTTCCGGCGACTTTGACCGGCGGGCGGCGGCGGCGGGGCGTGGAAGAAAATAAAAGAAGAAATGGGGTCAAATTGAAAATTTTAAAATATATAAAATTCGAATTTGGCCCTAGTGACCGGAAGTTAACCTAGAAACGGGCTAATGGCTCATTAGTGAAAGGATTGTGTAAGTTCAGGGATTTTTGTGAAATGATTTGAAGTTCAGGTACCACTTCGAAATTCCAGCTAAAGTTCAGGTACCATTTGTGAAATTTACCCTGTTACAATAAATTTTCCCATCATATCCCTAGATTCCATACTGCTTGCTGCGTTCTGGCCACGGTACGCTGATTGGAATAAATTATTATCTCCCCTCACCCTAAAATAGTATAACTGCATCGGTGTTTAAAAGATGGTTATACTTTGACTTTTTTAATCAAATTTAACATACTTTAAATGTGAATTAAAAAAAATTACTCTGTATAATGTAAATTTAGTAAAACTATGTTTATTTTAAAACATAGTCATAAAACATCAAATTTTTATAATATTTAATTATTTAAAACTATATTTAGTTCGGGTTAAAGGGTGCCACAGGTTGTTTAAAAAAATCAAACTGTAGAAATATTTTAGTTACAAAAGGAATAATATTTATGGTCGTGTCTGTTTATTCATGAATTTACTATTTCTATTTACGATAGGAGTATCCACTATTATATTGTACCGATCATTATTGATTGAGTAAATCTATTATTGTACTTCCTCCATTCGATATTAAATGGTCCATTTCAGTTTATGATGTTGACTCAAGTTATTTTTTAAATTATTTTATATAAAAATGATGTAGAATTAAAAAATAATAACTACATATTTAAAAATTACATCAAAAGATCTACAAAACTAGTGGTCACATGAATATATAATTTAATCAAATACGTAGTAACTAACAAAAATGGAGAAAGAGAAGTGAATAAACATGCTATTTAATTTGGGAAGGAGATAATATTATTCAACATTTGGGATGGAAACCTGATCTCAATATGGTGGAGTAATATGCAATTTAATATGCGAAAAAAATGGAGATATATGCACGAGTTGACTCAATATCGGGCGAGTACATCACAATTATATCATGATAAATTCTAAATAAACCTTCCTAGATTCATTTAAGAAGTCATAGGCATTCTCAAGAAAAGGATGATTCCCATTTTTGAGTTTCCCTTCAGACTGGTTAAACGATCACTAAAAAGAAATACTCTGTAAATTGCATTTTAATCGTAAATTAATTACAAGAAGTGAATTCGGCAGCACCTAATACTCATAGAGACTTTCTTTTTCTATGTCTTTCAATTCTTTCCAATTCTTTTTCACTCATTCTAATTTCTTCCAACCACACCTCCAACATGATAATGGCCTAAGTCAAAATCAGAGCCTAAGTCAATTTTGCTCAAAGACCTCGTCCTCGCTCTTCCTTTTTTTCGAGTAACTCACAATTTCAGTCGTCTCTCTTGAACCATATTCAACCCCATCCCCAAGAAATCCGGAAAAGTTCGTTCTTGCTTCTCCCTCTGTATAACTTTGCTTTCCTTTGAAGCAATCCACCACTCTATATGGTCATTCTTATTTTGTTTTGTTTTGTTCTGTTCTTGATCTTGTTTGAGTGGTACGATGATGAGGTCCATAGCTTTTCTTGTCGCTCTTCTAATTCACCCATGTTTCTTCCCTTCGTCCGATCTTGCAAACGCCACTCTTGACCCGAATGATTTCACGGCTCTGCAAGCAATTCGGAATGGATTGAAAGATTTACCCGGCTCCAATTTCTTCGCTTCTTGGAACTTTACTTCCGACCCCTGTAATTTCGCCGGAGTGAACTGCGGGGACGGGGGTAAGGTTCTTGGGTTGAGCCTGGGCGAGGACAGGGCCGGATCGCCCGGCTTGACGGGTCGGATTGACCCTGCAATTGGGAATCTATCTGCTCTGTCTGTGTTCGCGGTGTTTCCCGGGAAGATTTACGGTGCCCTGCCGGAGAGCCTCTCGCAGCTGAAGGGTCTCCGCTTTCTCGGGATCACCCGGAATTTCATCTCCGGGAATATTCCGGCGTCTCTCGGTCAGCTCCAGAACCTGAAGACGCTCGACCTCAGCTTTAATCAGCTCACCGGAACTATTCCTCCTCAAATCGGGGAATTGCCGGCGCTCCAGGCCGTCTTTCTGAGCCGCAACCGCCTGTCCGGTTCGGTCCCGGTTTTCATCTCCCAAAGCTTAAAACAGATCAAACTCGACCGTAACGACCTTTCCGGTTCCCTCCCGCCCAATGCTTTCCCTCCAACTCTAGAACGCCTCTCTTTGTCGTTGAACCGGCTGACCGGTCCAATCGGACCGACCCTGACCGGTTTAACCAGATTGACCTATCTCGACCTTAGCTCCAACCGGTTCACGGGGGAAATTCCACAGGCCGTTCTCTACTTCCCCATCACCGATCTCCAACTCCAGAGAAATCAATTCTCCGGGAAGGTCTCGCCGGAGTCCGGTCAAGTGAATATCACCACCATCGACCTCAGCCATAACCAGTTGTACGGTAATATATCTCCCAGCTTGTCCACCGTACAAAATTTGTACCTCAACAGTAACCGTTTCACGGGGGTTGTCCCGGATGAATTCGTACCCCGGCTTCATTCCGGCGATATACGCATTCTATACTTGCAACATAACTTCGTGACCGGAATCAATATGAATCCGGTCGAGAATCCAGTTGCGCCGAGCTCACTTTTGTGCTTGGTGTACAATTGTATGGTTCCGCCGGTCCGGTCAACTTGCCGGGCGAGCGCCGGGCAGCAGAAGTCGAGGCCTACGAACCAGTGCAAAGACTGGAAAACGAAGGGTTGATCAGAGTGGGTACATTTCTCTCTTTTCTTTTTTTTTTTGTAAGATAAAACAAAATTCATGAATGCATGCAGGTGCATGGTGGTGTTTTGCTCTTGTTCTATATATGTCCATATTGTTCGTGTTTTTATTTAAATAGTCTATTTAAATCCAGAAGAAAGAGTAGGTAAATTAATTTTTTGGTAAAAATCTTTTGCCAAACAGAAAGAAAAAAAATTCAAATCATTTGATTAATTATAAATCATATCCTAGCCAATGTCGTCCCTAAATTATGAGTACTAGGGCGACTGAAAAAATATGTGAAATTTGCACTAAATAAGACCAAAACATAATGATATTCCTAATGTAGGACTTAAACTTTTTTATTTTCTAAATAGGACTTAATAATGACCTAGTGGGAGGAATAATATCCAGTAATGCTAGACATTTACTTGAATAATGACTACTTGATAATAACCAAAAAGGCCTACATTGGAAAATAAAAACATATGATCCTATATAGGTAAAGTCATTATGTTTTAGTCCTATTTAGGTAAATTTCTCAAAAAATATACCTTCATATAAAATTTCATTTTAAGATAAATATTCCCCCTTTTTTTTAGTAAGATTGTTTGTTAAAATAGAAAAAATACTCAGATCTTGTTCTTTTGAATTGAAAAAATTAACATCTAGCTCCTTCTAGTTTTTTTAACTTTTTCAAGTTCCTTTAGTATCTTCCAATAACGATTTAAAAAAGATATTTATATATGACGAATATTCAATAACATTATATATATCTAAACTTGTAGCATGTCACATCAAACATGGACAACGATGATTTTTGAAAATATAAAGTTATACTCCATAGTTTTTTTTACGTATTTATTAAGGTGATATTTTAATTGAGTAACTTTTGAATACTTAAAATTTTCAAACATTTTTTAATTTCTTCAATTTTTTCTAACTTCTTCAAGTTTTTCCAACATCAAAAATTGAAATTCCAATCCAAAAGAGTGAGGCTTTAATAGGTTAAAATGTTGAGCTTATCTTCATATATACCCCGGAGTACTTCACATTGGATCAAATGAATACTCTCTTCATCCCAAATTATTTGTCCTAGTTTGACATTTATGTCAACTTTGATCATAAATAAAATGCTCGGGGTATAATTTCCAATAATAAAAGTTATAAAATTTTGAAATTCCAAAAACTATATCTTAAAATAACCCATTTGAATTAAATATACATTATAATTATATTATCTCTCGCAGTTTCTATCAAAATTAGTACAAAAGTCAAATTTAGACAAATAGTTTCGGATGGAAGAAGTACACCTGTGTTTTAAGTGCTTTTTAGTGCAAATATTTCTTTTAGATAGTGGACTACTTTTTTCGGAGTAAATTCTATATCTGAATAGGTAATTAGATAAAAGGACGATGGATTTTTTTATAACCTTTGGGCTCGAACATGTTGGGCTAAATTTTTTGGACTGGGGCACTTAAGTTTTTTTATTGGTGGGAAATCTGGGTATCATTTGACTGGGCCATACTAATAGGGGGTTTCTTTTCGATGAAAAAATACAGGAGAAAATATGTAGGGCAAGGTTCCCATGACATTGGGAACCAATGTCATGGGATGACCCGGGGGCGCTCCGGTGCCCCGTTCGTAAAATTGACGGTTCCTATCTCCCCTAACCCCACGGTAAACCCCTCTCCCAGCACGCCCCGACCCGAACGCACCCCCCACCCCCTTCAATTGCACCCCACAAAGTGATTTTGACTTTGGAGTCAAATTTTGACTCCAAATTCAAAAGCAACTTGTGGGGTGCAATTGAAGGGGGTGGGGGGGTGCGTTCGGGTCGGGGCAGGGTGGGGGGGTTTACCGGGGGGGGTTAGGGGGGTAGGAACCGTCAATTTTACCGGGAGTGCCCCCGGGTCATCTCATGACATTGGTTTCCAATGTCATGGGAACCAAGGTGAAATATGTAATATCCTTATGGCTCTGTCCTATTTTAAGTTGTTATTTATGATATTTGACTATGATTAGTTTTAAATAAATTTATATATAAATTGAATAGAGTTTAAAAATAAAATTTACATATTTAACAATGAAGTTAAAAAGTTTACAAAACGAAAAATGACATGACTATATTATTTTATCAAATGAGTAAAGAAAAGATTAAGTTTAATCTTGTAAATAGTAAACATGTTATTTAAATTGAGACGTACTTCGTAAATTACATTGTACTAATGAGAGTGACACTTTTCTCTCTTTCACTTTAGTCTTTTACACTATGTTTGAATGAAACAAAAAAAAAATAAATGGAAGGAAAGAAAAAGAATAAAAGAAAATGGTTAGAAAATGGAAAAAAAGATTTGTTGTTTGCATAGAGAGGAAATGAAGAGAAAAAGAACAATAAAAAAGGAAAAATACTAAAATATGAGTAAAATATTGAAAATATATTAAAATAATAGTTGAAATGTATTATATTACCAATCAAACCATATACGTTACTAAACCATAGTAAGATGCTAATGTACAGTATCACATTATCATAATGAAAACTCTTATTTACAACAACAACAACCCAGGTGAATTCCACAACAGTAGGGTCTGGGGAGGGTGTGTGTACGCAAACCTTGCCCCTGCTCGGAAGTAGGGAGGCTGTTTCCAAGAGACCCCGGCTTCACCTGCACAAAAATATGGAAGGGAACACAGTATAACACAAATAAATTACCAAGTACAAGCAACAAGTATAAGCAATAGCAGAAGATTCCAAACAATTACAACACACTACAAAACAACCTAATGAATACTCTTATTTAAAAAATAAAAATATGAAATTCCTATTTTACTATTTTCTCTATAATTTACTCCTATTTATGATGATCTTTTTCATTAAAAAAAAGTAAAAAACATATTTAAAATTAAATATTTTGAAAAGTAAACAAACAATTTAAATTGGAGCGAAATAAATTACGAATCAAAACATGATAGAGATTATTTGGAGATTGTGGGTAGCATTGACCAATGACCAGCACATTTGATTTCTCATTACTAAAAGAGGAACGTACGGCGAGTCGTAGCAAGGAAGATGGAACTTTTTCTTTGTAAGGCAAGTGGCACGCCACGGTCACGTGATTCTCGTCTTAACCCTGCCTGCTTTCCTTACCTGTCAACGCATAGCCAACTTTCACCTTTTCTTTTCTTGAATGACTTGAAACCCGTTCGCATTGTGCAATTTGCAAAAATAAAAAATGTCAAAAAATATAAGACCCACTGACACAATTACGTTAAAAAATACGGAGTAATTATACTAAACATAAAATCTCTACAAGTACGAAGTGTAAACTATGCATCAATCTGCGATCAAAGATTATATTATCTCTTTTCAATCGGATCTGAAGGGGCTCTCAAAAAACGACTAGACTTGTCCTTTTTGTTGAAAGACTGGAAGTACGGTCTAAGAAGCTCTATTCTAGTCTCATGTTCTAATTTCATTTTATTAAAGATTTAATATGATTTCCTTTAATTTGTTAATTAATTCTAATTAATTTAAACTACCTCTAGTGAGAACAAAGCCAAAATTTGTTTTCACTACTTTTGAGATTAGGGGATATAAGGCAAAAGTAAGACAAGTAAAATCATGTTATCGATTAAACTCTGCACTAAAAATGAAATTTTATTATTGATATTAATATTAAGATGAAGAAAGAAAAAAAATGTGAAATTCACAAACATACTCCGTAACTATTAACCCGTATAATATAAGAGAAGTTAATGAAAATAAATAATTTTTTAAAACAGTCATTTTAGCCCACCAAAAGACGGAAGTCGTTGAACCACACCCGAAATAGAGCAATAAATCATGATGACTTAAGTGATCAAAACAGATTAGGCCATTACTCAAAGAGGCCCTTATTTTGAGAGGTTGATCCCACCATTCCCTTTGTGAGTTTCGAACCCTGTCTCTACCATCATTCCCTTTACAGCAGGCGTGGAGATCACCTAATTTCCCCTGTCTTCTGGTGAAAGCCACAAGAACTCGGTTTTTTTTTTTTTTTTTTTTTTGCCTTTGCTTTCCTCTTAAGCTACTCTTTCTCCCACCTTACTGTAATGCAATATCTCTGTTTTGTCGTCATTGATGTCCACGAGAATCTCCTGCTTTTCACGGAAAAAAGTCTGCTTTTTTTTTTCCACTATATATTCCATCTCCCTGTTTATGCCCCAAGATTAGAGCGGGACGATGATGAAGCTTGTGGCTTTTTTGATGATTCTCCTTCGTTCTTGTTATTCGGCGAATGGGATTCTTGACCCGGTCGATTTCTNCACGTGGGCGCACGTGGTCCTGCTCCCCAGCCTAGTATATATACCTCTTGTAACCTTCGAGTGAGGGGATCGGAATTCACTCTCTCTAAACTCCCTTGTAAAAGCACCCGTGCATTCTCCGTTATAATATAAATTGGGCTACAGGTGTTCCACCTAAAGTCCTACCGGTCAATCTGCGTGTTTTTACCTTTCTTACTTTGCCAAATCAAGCAAACTATTCTAGACCCGGTCTAGTATAGTTTGACCGGTCAAGTAATTTACACTATCAGGTGTCATCACTAGAATCTCACCGAATTATAAATCATATCCTAGCCAATGTAGTCCCTAAATTATGAGTACTAGTGCAACTGAAAAAAAGACACCTCCATATAAAATTTCATTTTAAGATAAATATTCCCCATTTTTTAGTAAGATTGCTTGTTAAAATAGAAAAAATACTGGAATTATGTTCTTTTGAATTAAAAAAATTGACATCTAGCTCCTAGTTTTTTTACCCTTTTAAAGTTCTTTTAGTTTCTTGCAACAACGACTTGAAAAAGATATTTATATATGATGAATATTCAATAACATTATATATCTAAACTTTTAGTATGTCACCTCAAACATGGACAACGATGATTTTTGAAAATATAAAGTTATAGTTTTTTTACGTATTTAATTATTTAGGTGATCTTTTAATTGAGTGACTTTTTAATACTTAAAATTTTCAATCTAAAAGAGCGGAGCTTTAATAGGTTAAAATGTTGAGCTTATCTTCATATATACTTCACATTGGCTCAAATGAATACTCTCTTCATCCCAAATAATTATCCTAGTTTGACATTTATGTCAACTTTGATCATAAATAAAATGCTCCGGTATAATTTCCAATAATAAAAGTTATAAAATTTTGAAATTCCAAAAACTATACCTTAAAATAACCCAATTGAATTACATATACGTTATAATTATATTTTCTCTCGCAGTTTCTATCAAAATTAGTAAAGTCAAATTTAGACAAATAGTTTCGGATGGAAGGAGTACAACTGTGTTTTACATAGTGGGCTACTTTCTTCGGAGTAAATTCTATAGCTGAATAGGTAATTGGATAAAAGGATGATGGATTTTTTTGGAAAACCTTTGGGCTCGAACATGTTGGGCTAATTTTTTTGGACTGGGGCACTTAAGTTTTTTTATTGCTGGTATCATTTGACTGGACCATACTAATAGGGGGTTTCTTTTGGATGAAAAAATACAGGAGAAAATATAATATCGGTGTTGACTCTCCTTATCGCGCTGTCATATTTTAAGTTGTTGTTATTTATGATATTTTACTGAGATTATGTCAAGGAATCAATTCAACCAAAAGCTCAAGCTTATGATTGTAGTCTAAGAACAATTATTTATATTCTAACATGCCCCCACACATGCAGGCGTATTCTTTTTTGAGTCCTGCACATGAAACCTTATTTTTTTAAACTGTGTGGCGCTGAGTTTCGAACCCGTGACATTCTTAGTCAACGAGGCTCTGATACCATGTCAAGAAACCGATTCAACCAAAAGCTCAAGCTTGTGGTTGTGGCCCAAGAACAGTTACTTATATTCTAACAGATTAGTTTTAAATAAATATATACTCCGTATATAAATTGGGATAGAATGTAAAAATACAATTTCCATATTTATAAATTAAGTTAAAAATTCCACAAAACGAACGATGACATGACTTTATTATTTTATCAAATGAGTAAAGAAAAGATTAAAGTTTGATCCTGTAAATAATAAATATATTATTTAAATGACGGATGAAGTACTTCATAAATTACATTGTACTCATAACTCATACGAGTGACACTTTTCTCTCTTTCACTATAGTCTTTACACTATGTTTGAATGAAACAAAAAAAATAAATGGAAGGAAAGAAAAAGAATAAAAGAAAATGGTTAGAGAATGGAGAAAAAGATTTGTTGTTTGGATGTAGAGGAAATGTAGAGAAAATGAAAAGAAAAGAAGATAAAGAATTTCTTTCCCTTTGTTAAATGGGTAATAAAAAAGGAAAAAAACTAAAATATGATTAAATTATTATAAATATACTACGTATTAAAATAAGAGTTGACATGTATTTACATTACCAATCAAACCATTTACGTTATTAAACTATAGTAAAATGCTAATGTACAATGTCAGATTGTCATAATGAAAACTCCTATTTAAAAAATAAAAATATGAAACTCATATTTTGCTACTTTTTCTATGATTTACACCTATTTATGATGATTTTTTAATAAAAATAAGTAAAAATTGTGATTAAAATTAAATATTTTAAAATATAAACAAACGATTTAAATTGGAGCAAAATAAATTAAAAGACCAATAAAGATTATTTGGAGATTGTGGGTAGCATTGACCAATGACCAGAACATTTGATTTCTCATTACTAAAAGAGGAACGTACGGCGAGTCGTAGCAAGGAAGATGAAACTTTTTCTTTGTAAGGCAAGTGGCACGCCACGGTCACGTGATTCTCGTCTTAACCCAGCCTGCTTACCTTAGCTGTCAACTCATAGCCAACTTTCACCTTTTCTTTTGTTGAATGACTTGAAACCCCGTTTGGATTGTGCACTTTGCAAAAATAAAGAATGGCAAAAAAAATATAAGATCCACTCACACAATTGCGTTTAAAAGCAATAATATTAAACATAAAATCTCTATAAATATCAAGTGCAAACTCTGCATCAATCTGCGATCAAAGACAATATTATCTCTTTTCAGTCATCGTCCGAACGGATCTGAAGGGACCCTCGAAGAACGACTGGACTTGTCATTTTTCTTTGTTGAAAGACTTGGAGTACGGTATAAAAAGCTACTCTGTATTTTCTAGTCTCATGTTCTAATTTCATTTTATTAAGATTTAATATTGATGGTGTGAATTACCACGCAAATACGAAGTATAAGTAATCAGAAGGGCTGTAGGTGGAAACACATGTAACCCAGTTTGTTATTAATGATAATAGGAACTATTACAAAGTACAAGCCGTGTGGATTAATTAAAACACGCCTCACAAATGAGGCTTTTAAGGGTATTTATAATAATCCTAAGCACGTCAAGCACGTCTCTGATTATCCGGCCGGTCAATGAACTGACCGGTCCCCTAGGCCGACTTTGATTGTAGAATCTGTGTCTTCGTCTTCCGACCGGTCGGTCAGACCAACCAGGTCAAACAAGTCAGGCGGCGCGACATTTGGTACTTCCCAGTCAGTCAGACCAATCGGGTGGTACCCATGGGTTATTACCCATCAAATATGATTTCCTATGATTTGTAAATTAATTCTAATTAATTTAAACTATCTCTAATGAGAACAGAGCCAAAATTTGTTTTCACTACTTTTGAGATATGGTGATATAATGCAAAGTTAAGAAAAATAAAATGATGTTATCTATTAAATACTCTGCATTAAAAATGAAATTATATTATCGATATTAATATTAAGATGAAGGAAAAAAAATGTGAAATTCACAAATATACTCCTTAACTAAAGTTAGTGAGACAAATTTTGTAACGCCCCGCGATGAAAAGATAATTTTTTTAAATAATGATTTTAGCTTATCTTGTAAAAAATTCCTAAACACATCCCTACCAAAATACCACCCCAACCATCATTCCATTTACAGTAGGCGTGGAGATCACCTAATTTCCCCTGTCTTCTGGTGAAAGCCACAAGAACTCGATTTTTCTTTTTCTTTTTTTTTTGCCTTTGCTTTCCTCTTAAGCTACTCTTTCTCCCATCTTACTGTAATGCAATATCTCTGTTTTGTCGTCATTAATGTCCACGAGAATCTCCTGCTTTTCACGGAAAAAAAGTCTGCATTTTTTTCACCATATATTCCATCTCCCTGTTTATGCCCCAAGATCAGAGCGGGACGATGATGAAGTTTGTGGCTTTTTTGATGTCTCTCCTTCATTCTTGTTATTTGGCGAATGGGATTCTTGACCCGGTCGATTTCTTGGCTCTGCAAGCGATTCGGAAGAGCTTGGTTGATTTGCCGGGCTCCCATTTTTTCGATTCTTGGGATTTTACTTCCGACCCCTGCAGTTTCGCCGGAGTTCACTGCGCCGGCGGGGATAGGGTCATTGCGTTGAATCTTGGTGACCCGAAGGCGGATTCTCCGGGTTTGACGGGTCATCTTCACCCGGATATTGCTGAGTTGTCTGGTCTCACTGAGTTTACGGTGGTTCCCGGAAAGATATACGGTCCGTTGCCGGAGAGTCTCTCGGCGTTGAAACATCTCCGGTTTCTCGGCATCAGCAGGAATTTCATCTCAGGGGAAATTCCGGCGTGTCTTGGTCAGCTCAAGGAACTGCGAACCCTAGATCTCGGCTTCAACCAGCTCTCCGGAGCTATCCCTTCTGCCGTCGCGGCGCTGCCGGCGTTGTCCACCGTCATTCTCAATCACAACCGTCTCTCCGGTTCGGTCCCGGTTTTCGTCTCCGGGAGCCTAACCCGGTTCGACGTCAGGCATAACGACCTTTCCGGCACGCTACCGCCGGATGCTTTCCCTCAGTCGCTTCAATTCCTGTCATTGTCGTGGAACCGGCTGAGTGGACCGGTGGACCGGATACTGACAGGATTAACCAACTTGAACTATCTCGACCTAAGCATGAACCGTTTCAACGGCGGCATTCCGGGCAGCATTTTCAATTTCCCAATAACAAATCTCCAGCTCCAGAGAAACAATTTCTCCGGGAGGGTCACGCCGGCGGGTCATGTGACAATCCCCACCGTGGATCTCAGCTACAACCATCTCTACGGAGAAATATCTCCCCTGTTCTCAACCGTACAGAACTTATACATTAACAATAACCGGTTCACCGGCGAAGTTCCCGTCGTCTTCGTGGACCGGCTTCTTTCGGCCAGCATTCAGCTTCTTTACTTGCAGCATAACTTCTTGACCGGAATCCAGATAAACCCGGCTGCGGATATTCCGGCGACAACATCTCTTTGTCTGCTGTACAACTGTATGGTGCCGCCGATAGAAACCACTTGCCCGGAGAAAGCGGGGAAGCAGAAGTCGAGGCCCACGAATCAGTGCACCCTGTGGGAGGGCGAAACAGGGAATTGAGAGGGCAAGGAGAAGGGTAGAATTGGAATATCAATATTTTTTGTGGAGGAAAATTGGGAGAATTCTTATGCTAAATACTCACTCCCAATTTTTTTTTTGTTTTTACGGTTCAAAAGTTTGACCATTATTATTTATCCAATGTTTTGTAAAAAATTGGCATTTTAAAATTATATGGAAAACTCTCCACATATTACTCCATTCATCTCTAACTCATGGCAATTTTTATGTTAGGCCTAATGTCTACCATCAACTTACGTATAAGCAAAATAAATATTTTTTTAATACTTAAATTAGTATTTGTTTTTTTTAAAAAAAAATTATAAAAAGTTTTTTTAATGTAATGCGGTTCGCAAAAATAATATAGACCAAAGGTGTACTAAAGAAACACTCCTAAATCATTTAGACGTTACACAAAAAAAATAAACTCTAATTTTTTTTAATTTATTTTATTTAAATATTATTATATAAATAAAAAAATAAAATTTTCATATTTTAAAAAGTATATCAAAAATTATAAAAAAGAAGATACAAGAATATTTTATTTTGACAAATAACCAATTAAAAGACACAAACAAACAAAAATTTTCATAATTTTTGAAAAGTTGGTGTGATCTCATCATCTCATCCCTCCCTCCCAATTAAGTTTTTTTTCGTATTACATCTATTTTTTGCTTTTTTATATTGTTCTTTACATTTGTATTAATTGAAATTACATAAATTTAAAATTTAAAATAAAATTTTGATGAATATTAATTTCAAAATTGCCATGTTAGAAGTAAAGAAAAAAGGTGTGATACATAACGAAAATAAAGAGGTAGGTTTACTCAAAAAAAAATTAAATGTCTTAAAAGTAAGATAAAATAAATATTTCATTAATATTGACATTAAAGTTACATTTACAAGATTAAAGCTTATTTTAAAAAAACTATTCATACTTTTTAAAAAATTATTTTAAAAAACTATTCACTTCTACATATACAAAAATTATTTTAAAAAACTATTCATTAAATAAATAAACAATTCAATTAATTAATAAAAACCAAGAAACTTGAAACAAAAAAAGTAAAAAAGTAAATTGAAAAAATAGAAAAAAGACTAAAGAAAAAAATAAAAAAAAGAGTGGAAGAAAGAACACTTATAAAAGTACTCCATAAAGAAAAGCGCAACGAACAAAGGGAAAGATAGAACGCAAAATCAATCATGATAGGGATGATGTCAATCATAGTTATGGACAAAGGGTGAGTGTTTCCCGCCATCCATCCCCCACACTGCTCTGCCTTAACTCGCTCCATATCATTTTGAAGTTTTGAAAATTTTTATTTTTTGTATGTTCTACTTCCAAAAACTACTCCCTCCGTCCCTTATAGATCTTTTCAATAGCCCTTTTTCTTTGTCTACAATAGATCTTCTCATTTCATTTTTTAACAATTAAAATACCACAACTACCCCCACTTACTTTATTTATTACACCTCACTCACCTCATTTATTACACTCCACCCATTTTTCATTAAGGATATTATGGTGTAAACCATTTTATATAAAAATTGATGCTGTAAATTAAGGGTATTATGGTCAATTTATATAAAAATTGTTACGAGTTATAATGTTTGGCTGAAATTAGTTTCAAACCATTTTATATAAAAATTGATGGTGTAAATTACTACTTGGGCAAACTACTTTAGACCGAGTCTAGAATGGTTTGCTGAGTTTAGAAACTAAAATGACACGGGAAATAAAAATTGACCAGGAGGACTGTAGGTGGAAACACATGTAGCCCAATTGTTATTAGAGTATCGTAAAGTGCACGAGAGCTTTTATACAAGAGTTTTTAGAGAGCAGAATTCACGTCTCTTCTATTGAAGGTTACAAGGCTATTTATAGTAGAGCCTAGGGAGCAAGACAAAGAGTGCCCATGTCGTCCCACGTTCTTGGGCGGTGCAAGGTGACTTCTCTTGTCACGTAGCGTTTGTCCTACTCATTTGTCGGCTTGTGCTGATGGCACCTCTCTTGGCGCGTAGTGCTTGGACGAGAATATCTGAATATTCTCCGCGATCTTTAGTCGCTACCGTCCAACCATGCTTGGATTATTCTTGTCGAAACATGTATACACAAACTGGCCACCACGAGTCCCAAAAACTTATCCGGGTAGTTCCTTGAAGGAACATCTGGTCATTCAAGAATTCCCATGTAGTGTCATGCTAGTTGACTGGGTGCCCAATAGTCATCCGTGTGATCTTGGTTGAAACCCACCTGGGTAAGATACAAATCTGACCAAACAACCATGCTGCATGGTACTTGGACTTTGCCTGGGTGATTTTGAATGGGCCCGACCCGGGTCATGGCCTGGGTGGATTACACCCATAAAAAATGATGTAAATACAAAAATAAAAGTTATATAATAAAAAAATTACATAAAAAATATATAAAGTAGAGATGACATGATTACATTATTTTATTTAATCTATAACTAAAATAGACTTATAAAATAAATAAGACTTTTTTTTTGATATCATTATAAAATAAATAAGACTTGACTGAGAAAGAGAAATAATTTTTAGACGGTGGGAGTATTTCTTTGTAGATTAGTGGAAAGTGGGCTACAATGTAATGGATTCGGCCCAATTGCATTACCGCTCAAACTTTAGTTTCTGTTTCAAGAGAAAGTGTCAAGAGTCAAGACTGTCAACCATTTCACTAGAGTACACAATCTACTCCATCACTCAAATATAGGAATACAGCTACACTAGGGTCAAAATAGATTGCAATCTCGTCGCATAATAAAACAATTTTTCTTTGACTTGACTATAAATTGGGATATATTCCCTCCGACGAAAAATTTTTTTTCCGTTTCACTCGACATGCAAATAATAAAAATTTAAAAGTATAAAGACTTTTCATGTGTGTCCTTGATATGATGGAATAAAGTGAATATTGTATAGAAAAAACAGAGTTATAATGATATATTCATTAAAAGTTTTTTACCAAATTAAAAAACGAGAAAGAAATTTTTAAACAGCCCACAAAGGAAATTGAGAAAGAAATTAACGATTAAGAAAGCTTCGGCCTTTAACGTTTTATAAATACTGAGGATTATCTAGTATCAAGGTTTAATTTAGACGTTATCAAAATAAATCAATATTATTGAAAAATTATCCAAAATGGTAATTGATCAATATACTAAACCCCAGTCAATGAACAAAAAGAAACCACCAATTCCCACGGAGAAATGAATAAAGCAAGAAGGCACAAAATGTGAAGACATAAAAGTGAAGAACAGGACACATTTCCCAATCCATGCCTTAAGATTAGCACCTTTTGGCCCTCCATACTATATAAAACCATACATCTAAACCATTACATTAGTGCTATATGCCATAACATTAATGCTCCCTTTCGATATCAAGGTAGTTTTCGGTCGTACGTGTTATTTTTGCTGAAATGGTTTGTTAAGCAACGATTTTCCTTTTTGAAAACCCATCCATTTCAGCAAAATAACACCTGCCAAACGTACAATGGGAGCGAAAAAAACACTTCATAGTAACTATCCACTTCTGTGTGTGTGTATATATATATAACAGATTAACACTAGTAGCCGTGAAATGAAAATTCGTGGTTAGGAGGCGGTTTATGAACAACGGTGGGGATGGATGAAGTCGGTTATCTCGTTCATTAGGCAAACGAAATGCTCGTTGTTTGGCAAGAAATAGAACCCGATGGTTGCCTTCTCCAAGTGTAGAAGACGAACACTGTGCCCGCATTTCTGGAGCCCTTCGACGTAGCCCAATTGCCAGTCCTGGGAGAGATCCAGACCGGCCACAACCACGAGGCTCTTGGGGAACCGCTTTAGCCCTTCAAGAGTCCTACTCCGGGGTCCGAATATGTTACACGCGGGGTGATCCCTGTCTTCCCCTTCCGGCAAAAACGCCCTCCAGTACCAGTCCCTGTCCCTAACCGTCACGAAATACCTCCCGTCCAATTCCTTCTCGGATTCCGTCCGGGTTTGGCCCCCGAACATCGGGTGAAGAAGAATGTTACCCAATATCTCAACGCCTGATTCTGATTCTGATGCTGCTCTAACGGAGACATGGTGGGCAATGTTACCGCCGGAGCTATCCCCGGCGAGATACATGTGTGCTTTCCGGGTATAATCGTCCTTGCCGCCACTCTGCAACCACGGTCTCGTTTTTACCCATTGAACGGCAGACCAACCGTCCTCATAGGCACAGGGGTACCTGTGCTCCGGCGACCGGCGGTAGTTGACGGAAACAACCACACACCGGCAGATTTTCACGAGGCGGCGGCAGAAGGTGTCGTATATGGCACTGTTGGCGGAGGAGTGAGTGAAGCTTCCGCCGTGGAAGAAGACTATAACGGGAACAACCTCGGTGGTGCTCAGAGGACGGTCGAGTTCGACTTTACCCCAATCGGACGGGTTCTCCGGGGCGGGTTGGTAGACCCGATTAAGGATGTTTGTGGTCCGATCCACAACATCGAAAGAGTAGACCCCGTCGGCCGGGATCGTATTGGGCTGGACCTTCCGGTCAAGAAACTCGGCCAAATCGCGATTGAAGGAGCCGTCGGACCTCCTAAGCATGTTGTAAGCAAGCTTGAAGTTGGATATGAGAATCCAGGTATTCAGTGGAACCACCCTCTGCAAGAAAACGAAAAAAAACAAGTAGAAATTGATGATCGTTCATTCATCCATTCAATGATTCATCACACCCCATTAATGGCAATTTCCAGTTAAGGAAAATTCTGGAAACAATTGGACATACCCAGACACGGAAAGAAGCAGAAAAGCAAAAAAAACTCTAGTTCCATCGAATTGGGGAAAACAGGGTGCTATAATCATTGAGATTTCACGGAAAGGTCCAATCTTTTTCATCGAATCAGTGTTTAGAAGACTGGGTCGAGTGGATACAAGGTCAAGATCAGATAAAAATGGTGAAATTAAGATGAAAACCTGGGATTCGCTGGCGTTGATTTCATTACTGCCCGCCATGGATGGAGCTTCTTTTTCTTCTTCTTGAGCTGAGAGGGGATGAATCTGAATCCGCGGGGAAATCGGAGGTTCAGGTGGAGAGGATCGTCAGTTTGTGAATGCACATAATGACGAGGATTCGGGAGATCAGATAAAGATTATATTTAGGGGATGGATTGGAGTGTGGGGGCGAGAGGTTGCGTCGGGACGAAGGAGGAATCGGACAGGAAGCTCAAATGAAACACGGAATAAATTTAAGGGAGGCAAAAAAAAAAGAGAGAGAAGGAAAGGCGTGAAGTCAAACGCAAAAGGACGATGGACGGATGGGTGAATTGAAGGCGGGCTATAATAATCACTTGTACCAAAAATTGTACTCAAAAGTTACGCAGATGTATAGGTTAATATTTTGATAGTTTACACTGAAACAAAATGATGGTGTTTTAATTAAAATTTGTACTAATATTTTGTTTCTGTTTCAACTATCACCAATGCATTATACTAACATAAAATAAAGATGCATACCTGCGGTATACAAATTGCAGTACAATCATAAAGGTATAGAGGTGCTATTATACATCGCTAATGTACCGGATCTCATTAAAAATTCAAAGTTAAGCATGCTTAATTGAGAGTAGTATTAGGATGAGTGATTTCGCGGGAAGTCTTTTTGTTCGACTTCTTTTTGTTATTTTTCACTCTTTGTCACGCACTTGTAACAGTCTAGTCAGGTTTGAAGACCCTCGAATATAGAGAGTCCATAATAAGGGCATAGAGACGAGAGAGTGGGGAGGCGGATACCCAACTGTTTGCCCGACCCACAAATTTTTGTGACCTACGGACTACTCCTTAAGTAAGTCCATATTTGTTGGAGGGCTTTTAAAAATCGTTTTTTATTTTGTTTTTATTTCTAGTGCCAAACACACTTTCACGGTGCATTTCCAGGGTGGTGTACGTGGCTGGCTAAAACGGTGCCTAAAAACAGTAATTCCAAAAAAATATATCAACATAAAGTATCGTGTAGAACTGACACAATAATCACCTAAAAGAAAATAAATTAAACTTTAATACTCCCTCATAAGTAATACTACCTCCGTCCTAGAATATTTGTCCACTTTCATTTTTACACACCATCCAATGCACTTCTTTAATTCATTTTATCTTGTAATTTATATATTAAAAAGTTATAGAAATTATATATTAATAATCTATATGTTGAGACAAATCAAACAAGATCACACATGACTATATTTAGGCTTACACATTGAAAAAATTTGATGAGTCAAAGTGCTTGGATGAACAGTTCCAAAAGTCAAAAGTGGACAAAAATTAGGGAAAGGAGGAAGTAAGTAAAAGGATAAATAGTGAACTTTAATCAATAGAGATACATAGTGGTGCACTTTTAAAAGTTAAAGAAACATATTCCCTCCCTCCCTATTTCTATTATTGAGGTAAAATATCAAGTATTTTTAATTAATTTTATTTACATATTGGTATAAAAATAGAAAATAAATTTACATATCAAAAAACTATATGAAAAGTTTTTCGAAATAAAAGGTGTCAATAATATTTTACTTTATCAAATAACCAATGAATTCGTAGAAATAAACAAAAGTTCGAGCGGCTGTTGAAAAAACAAATGTGAGATATATTTAGAAACGGAGAGATGTATATTTTATAAAGATTTGGAGGTAAAACACACATTTTAGAAAAAATAAAGACACTTATGATGTCCTTTTAAAAATTTAATCTAGAAGAGAAACATGTATTTTATGGGGAAAAAAATCAAGGGTCAATTTGTCCGGAACATAAACCTTCAGAGTACAAATTCACTTTGGGTCCGTTTGGTACACGGAATTGACGGAATTGGAATTATAATTTCATGAGATTCAATTTCAAAGAATTGAATTCACCAATTTTGGAGTAATTTATTTTTTGCACTATCAATTCCTAATCTACATAATTTTTGTGCTACCAAATGCTAGAATTGGAATTGAGCTCAATTCCAATTCCATAGTTTAAATTCCGTGTACCAAACGGAGTCTTTATCTTTTAAAAAGAGTACAAATTCACTCGTACTAATTTGTTTCGGAAATAATGCCACGCGTTGTTTTTCAATAATTATATTAAAACGTACATTTGCCCCGTTATATTTTTTTTAAACCCACATTACAAAGAAACAACATTCGATTTTCAAAAAAAAGGAAAAACATTTGTTTTTTTGAAAGAAAAAACATTTATTTAGTGGAGAGAACTGACAAACATTTGAGATAATGTTTTTAAGGAAAGAGACAAAGCGGAGTGGCCCCACCCATTGACGTTTGCCATAAAAGTTTTAGGAAAGTGCCAAACAAAGGAGATACCTCTTACCTTGTTATCTATCCACATATCAAAAAAAATACAGCTCACAATATAACAAGGAAATAACTAATAAAGAATATTTTTTTAAGCTCGAATTTTAGATTTAATTAATTTATAAACGTTGATTTAATTACAAAACCTTGTAATTTGTACGGATTATTATGAATTATTTCCTACATCTCAAATTAAATTCTACATTTTTTACAATTCACACGTTCAGATTTTATTTTCTTTCTATCATATTTTTGTTAGTCATTTGATAAAATAATATAATAATATCACTACTTATTAATTTTGTAGATCTTTTGATGTAGATTTTAAATATGTAATTTTTATTTTTTAATTATACACCATTTTTTATATAAAGTGGTTTGAAAATAATTTCAACCAAATATCATAAATAAAAAATGTGATTTAAATGAGGAGAGAGAGAGTATTAGGAACAACATTCCAACATACTACCTCCGTCCCTAAATATTTGCCACATTTATATTTCCAAGGCAAAATATCAAACTTTTTCAATTAATTTTATTTACATATTGGTATAGAAATAAAAAAAATTTACATATCAAAAAATTACATGAAAAGTTCTTCAAAATAAGAGGTGTCAAGAATATTTTATTTTATCAAATAACCATTGAAAACTTAGAAATAAACAAAAGTTCCCGCGATTGCTGAAAAAGCAAATGTTGTGAATATTTTGGGACGAAGAGAGTATTTTAAAAAGAGCTGAGCGTGAATAGTAAGTGAAGAAATCAGTGATTTAATCCAATATGTATGTTGGATTAAAATTCAAAACAATTCAACTCATTTCTTTTCAATTTAAAGATGAAAAAGAATTTTTAGAAAGGAATTTAAAAAAAATCTAAACTAGATGAAGAAACGAAATGGAAAAAAAATAAAAGAATGAATAAGGTGAAGAAGATGAAAAAGGATAATAAAAGCTAGGGTAAAAGAAAAAGTGAAAGTCAATATAATAAAATAACGAGAGGGTGCAACACACGGGCCATTTTGCAAATTTTTTAAAATTAGTATGAAACATATTAACTAATCTTATGTGATATTAGAAGTCTACATGACACAAATTTAAAGAAGGGACATCCAAACCACTTGAATTTGAATTATAAAGGTACAAGAGAAAATTTATACTGTAATAATTTACTAGTTTTAAAATTTGAGTCGTGAGCTTTGTGCGATTTTAATACATATACAACTCGAAATTTTTAATAGTTGGTATAAAATTATAGCGATAATTATTTAAAATAAATCTAACTTTATCTGGTCTTTCAAATATAGTTACATCTTTTACTTTGATACATAATAATCCCAAGTTCATTAAAATTTGCGAGTTTAGTACGCCAATAAGATTCTAACGGCGGGTTAACGGAAAGTCCTGTTTTGCACGACAAAATAAAAGTTGGAATTATTTTTAATGAATATTTGTTTTTTATTTTTTCTTGCACGGAATCCTAATGTACTACTTATTTTTTTTGAAAGAACAAGATGTCCGGTAAGTTGAAATTATTTTAGATAATTTTTTTTTAAAAAACAAGAATTGGTACGTTAATACTTTGTATAGTGCGTAAAATACTAAAACCCACCACTCTAAATATTTTTATTTTATTTCATACCAATTTCATGTTAGTTTCTATTGATTATGTTATCTGTTTTATTAATTTTGTATCATTTTTGTCACTTTTATCATTTTTATTATTTTTTATATCTATTATTTTTATTTTTTTAAAGTAAGACTAATCTTTTAAAAAAAGCAAAAGAAATGATACAGGTAGAAAGTAATTTTAAAAATTTAAATGAAAGTTTCAAAAAAATTACTCCCTCCATTCTAAAACTTTCTTCCCAGAGCACTATTCCAACTTCACGGGAATTTATATTTATTTGTGTTTTTTCATGGCCTATATGATAAAATAAAATATTCTTGTCACCACTTGTTTTGTTGAACTTTTGATCTAGTTTCTAAATATGTATGTTTTATTTTTTATTTCTATACCAATATTTAAATAAAATAGATCGAAAAAACTTGGGATTTTTCTTCGTTTTGCGCAACGGGAAGAAAGTTTTAGGACGGAGGGAGTAAAAAAATCATCAAAAGTAATCTCAACTTTCATAATCTGTTAACCCGTCGTTAGAAACTTAACGGTGACCCAAAACTCACAAATTTTTGTAAAGTTAGTGTTATTATGCATCACAGCCAAACTAGACAGTCATTCAAATCAGCTGAGATTTGCAATCAAAAGCCAACAAGCAATATTCAAACAAGACCATCGTACCCTTGATTTTTTGTTGAGAACTCATAGGTTTGACATTATGTAAAATAAAGCTAGGGGGTCTTTAAAATTTGAAAAAATATATTTGGATGGTACATTTCATCAATTTGAAGTTTCATTCTTTTGACAAATGAAACAAGTATACGTGCATCTTAATTCGTGTGATGTTTGGGCGAGATGTAGGCCTTAATTTTTTTTCTTCATTAGAAAAGTGAATGGAGGGTGAACATTATTATTACGTCCTGGTTCCAGTAACACCGGAGAACGGTGCACTAGCGGTGTCACTGTATTTTTGGGTATCTTCAGTGCTCCGTTCGTAAAATTGACATTTTGTGGGGGGCTTACGGTGGGGTTGGGGTGGGGGTAGGGTGGGGGTATAGGGGGTGGGTTAGGAGGGATAGGAATGTGTAGAAATTGATAAGAGAGAAAATATTCTGTATATTGAATTGACTTGTGAATACAAAGGTCTAACCCTCTTTATATAAAAAGAGAGTAAAGCATATAAGCAAACTTTTATTCCTATCATATTTCTATTCCTGCTATAACAAGAACTAAGCAAACTAGGAAAGATACTAAACCGAATCCCAAAGGGATTCCGTTTCTTTCTTTGATCCGGCTTCCTTCTTCTGTCGCCAACACCCCCCTTAAGCTGGAGGATGGGAGTTCAACATGCCCAGCTTGGACATCAAAAGATTGAACAAAGCAACAAAGCTTGAGGAAGCCGCTGCCATCGTTGTCCAAGTGTCATCTAGACACTTCAATTTTTTCTTCAACGGAGACGCCAAGCTTTTCGAATCCGCCGAATAATCAGTCGAGTAAAGGAACGCCATTCTTTTCGAACACCCTGAACGCCGACTTTTTTTTATTGCCTGCTAAAGAAAGAGTTGTCTGTCTCTGTAAAACAACCCTTCTCGGTCAACTTCTTCAAGATTGATGGTTGGGCGGCATTCCTCGACAGCAATGTTTTTCGTTGAAGGAGTTCATGATGCTCTTTAGTGAGGGAGAACAATCAAAGAAAATCAAAAATTACAATATCCCGTCGGTAGCCATTGAATTGTGTATGCTCACCGGCAGGAGAAGAAGCATGTTTGAGGTCTCAAGAATTCAAAACTTGCTCTGATACAATGTAGAATTTGATAAGAGGGAAAATATTCTGTATATTAAATTGGCTTGTGAATACAAATGTCTAACCCTCTTTATATAGGAAGAGAATAAAGCATATAAGTAAACTTTTATTCCTACCATATTTCTATTCCTACTATAACAAGAACTAAGCAAACTAGGAAAAATACTAAACCGAATTCTAAAGGGATTCAGTTTTCTTCTTTGATTTGGCTTCCTTCTTCTGTCGCCAATAGAACGGAGCACCGAAGATGCCCAAAAAAGCAGTGACACTGCTAGTGGTATTGGGTGTCACTAGAAGACGTATTATAATTATAGCTCAAAAAGAAAGTGTAAAGATTAATTCGTGAAGGAGTAATTATATGCGCGAGTAATTTTCACATCCTTGGGAAACTAATCTCTCAAAATAGACTCAGATTATTGTTTTTGGTGAAGGAGAAAGAATGAGTTCTGCAGGGTCTGGCAGAGGCAAGCCCAAGGCAGCCAAATCCACTTCCCGATCTCACAAGGCTGGCCTCCAATTCCCCGTCGGCAGGATCGCCCGATTCCTCAAAGCCGGCAAGTACGCCGATCGCGTCGGCGCCGGCGCCCCTGTCTATCTCGCCGCCGTCCTCGAATACCTGGCCGCTGAGGTGAGATCTTTCGTTTCAATTTCCGTCGGTTAATTAATCCTATCTCGACATGAAATCTGATCGCCGGTTCGTTTCCCGGCGGATGGACAGGTTCTGGAGCTGGCGGGGAACGCGGCGAGGGATAACAAGAAGAACAGGATCGTCCCCCGCCACATTCAGCTGGCTGTGAGGAACGACGAGGAGCTGAGCAAGCTTCTCGGTGACGTCACCATCGCTAACGGCGGCGTTTTGCCCAACATCCACCAGCATCTCCTCCCCAATAAGTCCGGCAAAGGCAAGGCCGATGCCTCGCAAGAATTTTAAATTCCTTTTTTTTTCTTTGGAAAGATTCAAATCTTGTCCGTTTTTTTAAAGAATGAAATAAAGTAAATTTGTTGCAGAAACTATAGAGTATTATATATTTATATTTCAGCCAATAATTCTGCAAAATTATTACTCCCTGTTATACAAAAAAACATTTCAGGGGCTACAGCAAAAACATGGGAAGATCAGGGATATTTACATTTGGTCCGTCACAGTAAAAGTTTGTCCTGAACTTCTACCCATTTTCTGATAAGAGCACCGGAGGTGTTCCAAAAACGTAGTGGCACTGTTGGCGAGTGTCAACGGAACCGTGCCCAATGTAAAAAAGTAAACAAGATTTACCAGCGCCTTATATTGCATGTAGTATACAGACTTGATCTCCAGGTTAGTTTGCATGGGAGATTGGGCAGTCTTCCTTAACATGATTATTGAACAGCCTATATCTGCAGTAGGTAACAAAGTTGAGCATATTATTACCTTTTCAAGTTAAAAATATACTCAGTATAACCCGAAAAAAATACTAGGATATGAAGGAAAACATCGAGGAATTCCAAAAAAATAATCACATTATGACATTGCTGTTTTTTAAAACTTAAGGTTTGAGTTTATATCACAAACCTTTCGTATTCAAGTTTCTGAGTAACAATCCCGTTAAGCAAAAGCTCTGAACTGTAAACTGCAATTCCTGGAGGATAAAAGAGCCAACACAATTGCCTTTAAAAATAGGAACTTGTGCACTACCCTCAAGTTTTCCTCCTTTACGCATAGAGTCGCAGACAAAGATGGAGGGTACTTAAAGCATTTTGTTAGTAAAGAAAAGGAATTTGGGTATATCTGATATTCATGCACATGGAAAAAAGAGATGAATTAATAAAGTCTCACCTTTCTTTAGAAATGGTGCACAAGCTGCAAAATCTTCTTCAGATGAAAGAACTAATGTCCCTCCTTGAGTAGTTACATCTTTGGTTTCAGCCACTTCCTGGTGAATGTGTCACAAGTAACAGCATCCAAGAAAGATAGTATGGTTATGTATAATGTACTAAGTTTCAGTACACATTTGCAACCATTACCAATGTTGTAAAAAAAGAACTGGGTGCTCTTTAGGCTAATTAGACTGCCGTAGTGGAGAGCTTAGAGCCTAGGCATTGATTAATTGGGGAATTTTACTGCAATGCAATGAGCCAATGACCATTACAAATGTTGCAACTTGCATTTACACAAAGAAGATATGTTCTTTCCAAAACATGCCAAAAGGAATTCTCTTATCAGAATCTGTGTGTAGAATCATAACTGAAGTCTTGAACTAATCTATTAGAGTGCCACTGCAAAGGGCTGATGATAATATCTCAGGCTAGTTTTGTACCTGGCCTTGAACTGCAGTGACCAAGCTTTGAATCGTGCATCTACTGGGCTTCACGTTTGGGGTAATAAACACTTTATGATCCTGCAGTGAGTGATAAAAGCTTTAGAGAGAACATTACACTTGACTAAACAATATAATGGTATAAAGTCTAAAACCAAGCAACTTTTGCAAATAATTAATTACTCTCAGGAGTGGATGCTGGCGAGAAAAGGCAAGAGAGTCAGGCATGCTGAAACCAATTTCTCTTTCCTTTTTATAATCCCTCAATATGAACATCTTCTCATTAATAAAAGAGTTCGCTTGCCCACAACTCTCAAGCCACAAATGTGTAACCACAGGTATTCCAATGGCCATTGCTTCCAACATATTCTTTGTTCTCAGAAATTTATCAGCTACGAAGTGTGAAGCATCTGAACAGCAAGATGCCACGGAAAAGCCAAGCCGTGCCACAATCTGAAAGGGAAAACATGGTGGTTAAAATGGATATGTTAAATGCAAAAGGTACACCTATTACTCAGAAATTCCAATACAAAGTGTTGTTCTTGTACGCATATTAGTAATTACTGCAGATAGACCACCTTTTTCTGGCGTTTAATTGTTCTCTTATCCAAACCCTGGCTGAGCAAGACCTTGACATTTGTATGACCCTTTCTCCTCGAATTTCTCGGCATGAAATCAGGTAGTGACTCTCTATGCCCTAATTTAGCAAGCTCTTTAGTAAGGAATGTTCTAGAGAGTCGTCTCCCATGCTTGCTACCCTTGAAGTCATATTGTTCAATATGATTTCCACTTGAGACTGTGTTTATTGTTCTTTCAGTTAACATAACATCAGAAGATACAATTGAAAACAAATCATACGAGTCAACATGTGTCAGATTTGTAGAAATGTCCCCATCACGACACTTAGGTATCCCTTTGTCCCTAATGGTGGCATAATTACAATTTGAAACAACAGTTGAAGAAGCATACTGATTATTCCATCCAAAAGAATGCCGAGATGCCCCTTTATGTGTCCTTTTTCCTCTGGGATGGACCCAATATACTAACTTATCTTTATTATTCATAACCTCCATGCTCTTTTTAAAACTTTGATCAGTAAACCTTTCCAAAAAACTTGAGGATGACTGATTGTTGTTTTGATGATTGCCCATTTTCCCCCTTCTCTTGTCACGCAAACCGCATTTTTTATCATTGAATGAACTAAAATCAGCATCTAACTTTCTTAAAGGCCTTCTGGATGTTCTCTTTTTTGAGCGAAGCTCTCCAGAAAATGACAAACCTGATTCTGCAGGGGGGATTAATTCAGTCATCTGGGTTTCTTTTTTAGTACCCTTATGTTTACAAAAAGGATCCAAATTTAGAGGAAGGGCATAAGACAAGGCTTCCATAGCCTCGGCTGCCACTTGGGTGTCAAAGCCAACCTCGTAGTCATATGTGGATGCTACATTCAATTGATCCTGTTCATCTTTATGCAACTCATCCTGAAAACTAGTATCCAAGGCTTGAAACTTTGAGATCTCCATTTTATTTGAACTTGATCTTCCTTCCCCGTAATTCAATTGGAAAACATTACCTACGGCTTTTGGCTTCTGAACTGCTAGAACACCATCACAGAGTCCATCAATGTTGCACTCCAAGTCTAAGTTGATTTTCCTTCTGTTTAAGGAAGAAGTTTCTTCATCGCCACTTGAATTTCCAGACCAGTCAAAGACTTCTAGCTTCTTATCAAGGCGTGTCTGATTCTTTATCCTTGCCAAAGTTTGAGGTCCGTTTGGGTGTGAAATTCGGGGTGACACTGAACTACCCTTCGCTCCAGTTTCAACGAGGGGAAATGCATTTGGATCATTGTTCAATAGGTAAAGGTCCACAACTTTCAGCGCGTTTTCTTCTGAAGAGCGTTCTGGTTCTTGAGATTCAACGTACTTACACATGAGAAGATGGTTAAGATCATCATCATCTCTTGCTGAAGCGTCTTTACAACCGTTCCGACTGATTCTACCCAAATTCTTGGGCATTTCGCTGCACTGCAAATCTTGCCGGGTTTCTTCAACATCTAAGCATTCATTAATAGCCCACAAAGGATTCTTCTTCTTCCTAAGGTATCCTGATAAACAGACAGGTAATTGAGCCAACACATAAACTCTTCAAGATCAGCTTTTCTATCAAGTAAACAGAAACAACAAATCATTCTCACCTTTGCACGAATGATAGCCAGGAGCATATCTTCTCTTCCCCACACACCTTCCTCTTGTCATTGCTTCAGCATGAATGCCTTCATTTCCATGCATTCCTTCATCTTCTGAATCAAGCACAATTTCACCTTCACTTTCACTGCTGAAACTCTTAATACAACCTGAGAGCCCCACAGCTTCAGTATGACTCCCAACGTTCACCTGCTGATTATCCGAAATGGGACTCTCGGGTACAAAATAACCATCAACACCTTCAGCAAAAACGCCCTCCATCTCCATTCTATCCTTCTTTTTGCTCAGTAACGATTAATCTAAAATCACAAGACTATTCTAGAACATGAGAAAATCCACAAATAAACAAAACTATAACCTAATGCATAAGCGACACAGTCAACCCTGGGCTGCCCAGTGCTCATACAGAATGAAATGAATGCTCGAACCCCAGAAAATTTCTCATGATTTCTCTTCGAGGATTGAAGCTTACGAAGACAAAATCCGAACAGAAATCAAGAAATTAACTGGAAAGGAATCAGATTCGCGTAGGGAAAAGCTCACCAACAGAAGCTAGGGATGATTAAACGACGGCATTCTGAACAATCGGACTCGTCGGCTTGCCGTGAAGGGGAAATTGAACAGTGTCTGAGCATACATATACAGCATAATCTCAGGTATTATTATAAACGTAAACTTCGGCGGCTTGGGAAATGGAAGAGGCCAAATGATATGGTGTTCACACTTGCAGAGTTTTGGAGGGAAACTGGAAAATTGTCTGCAACAGTGCAACTGCAAGAATGTCATCTTTGTCGAGAAAATCTTCGGGTGGATATTGGATTTGGGTGGAGACCCATTTGCTCTCTCACGAATTATTATGGGCCGCTCTTGAGCCGAATTCATACCCGATTTAAGTGGGCCGAAAGTCTTGTTAAGGACTGCCCCAGCCCGATTGATTGGGTCTATTGTTTTGATCATGTCCGTCGATTTAATTTTAATTCATACACAGGGCCCGTTTGGTGAGAATAATATGATATACGGAGTAAGTTTTAAAATTTGAAAGAAATGACAATATACGGAGTATTTCAATAGAGGGAGTGGTCGACAACTGATGAACACATCAAACTCTTTTAGGATCCGTTTGGTATATGGAATTGAAAGAATTGGAATTGAATTGGAATTGAAATTTCATGAGATTCAATTTCATAAAATTGAATTCAGCAATTCCAATTCATTTTTTGCACTATCAATTCTAAATATACATAATTTTTGTGCTACCAAACAATAGAATTGGAATTGAAGTCCTCAATTCCAATTCTATAGTTTGAATTCCATGTACCAAACAAGACCTTATTGATATTTCCATAACTCAGGTCATATCAAAACTCTTTATTTAAAAGATCTGACATATCTAAAGATATCAAATCTGATTTCTGACATAAGAAATCATCCCAAATAAGAGTACACATGCATTTATTCTTCTATTTTGGTATTTTCTCCTTGTTATACCTTTAGTTAGCCATTTTCCTTTTTAACATAAGGAGATCAAAATTATCCCTCGGTTGCATATGTTAGCTACGACGTCAACCATACACACCATTCGTCTAGCTTCTTAAACCGCAACCAATTCAACAAGTTTTGATGATGTAGAAATCAAATTTCTTCAACACCATATTTTACATGTTGTGCTAAAAATGTTCAAGTCGTCAAACTATACTCTAATGACAATAAAACTTAATTTAATTTACTTCTCCACAAAGATATCGAGACAGGACAATGAGGCCAGTAGTGAGACGTCAAAAACACCCTTTTGCAATTCAAAGTTGGAGTAAAACAACATGGACAACATTTTTAGACAACAAACTCAATAAAATTCAATAACAAACATCACAACATTTTATGATGACTAAAAATATTCACAAGGACTCATATTCCTGCCTATTGTGTGGTTAAAACCTCAACCTTGCATGGTTTCATCTTCGTTGTCGTCGTCATCATCCTCTATTTTCCACATTTGAACAAAAAGATGGATGATCAAAGCCATATACATATATATACTGAAAGCATGATAAAAAACCAGACTGATAGCTGATGATGATCTTCTGTGGCAAAAAAAAGAGGGTGCCTTTCTTGTGTTTGTGCGATGGCAATCAAAATTGTTCCAAGACAACCTTGCGCATGAAGTCCTCTGGTGCTGCAAACCCAGTTAAAGATATGTTCAAAATATGGCATAGTGATTAGTGACAGTGACAGAGTCCTTACTTAGAGACAAATTATGTTAATTACCTAACCCATTAGTGAACAACCTAAACTGGCCGAGAGCCTGCCTGACGAACATCTCAACTCCACTCACCACCACCGTCCCGACCTCTGCAGCCTCTTGCAACAGACGTGTGTTTCTCGGCGTGTAGACCGCGTCAAATACCAGATCGTATGATTTCAATGCCTCCTGAGAATACGAAACCAGCAAAATGTATAACCGATCATATCAAAAACAGCTTTAAATATAACTACAATCATATCATATTAGACTAGATCAGATGACCAGATCAAATCAAACCAGCCTTAATAAAACCAGATCATATCCAATAACATATCCAGGTCATGTTTTAATGACCAAATAGGAGAACCCGTCCCAAAAGACTAGCTTTTCAGGTGAGAGAACCTATTTGGCCTATAAACCCCTCATCCGTTGCAGATACAATGGATGTGGGACAAGCCTTATACCTTGCAACTGGGTTAAGATTTTAGGGGAGGGTGGCATGGAAGGAAAAACAAACCTTGCAAACCGGGGTTTCATCTATCCTCGGCTGCATCCCAATGGCTGAAGCATTTGCTAATATCATTCCTTTCTCTCTGTCAAACTCGTTAAGTTGCTCGTATGGCAGTGCTTCGCCAGACACTGCTTTGGCAAGCGCTTTCGCTCTCTCTGCCCAAAAAACAAAATGTCAAAATCAAATAAATTTCTGATATGGTGAGTTATATATTCTGGCATTAAATTCTAGAAGTATTAAGAGTGTGTATATATGTACCATAGTTGCGGTTGACGATCACAACCCTTGCTCCTCGGATTTTGGCACCAAAAGCCATAGCTCGCCCTGCGCCCCCAGCTCCAACCAGCACAAACAATTTCCCAGCCATGGGAGAAGCGTGTGATGCATGACCATTTGTCATTTGCCTCTCTGTTCATAGGAAATTTGAAAAGAAATAATTTAGAAAAAAATACCAATATATATTTCCTTGTATATCCATTGCAAATAGAGCTAAAATAGTCATAATTGACAATGTTTTAGATTTGACTAAATCAAAATGACACATTAAACCTTTTTTGCTTCTTATTTTCAATCAATGAGGTTTTGGGTAGTAAATGCAGCAATATGATTATGGATTAAAATAATTATAAGCAAATACCTCTAAGTGCACCTTCAATTGCAGTTATGCCAGCCTCACAATCGGTATTATAACCAATGAGTTTCCCGTCAATAGGCCTCCGTATGATTGTATTTACTGCACCTATGGACTGTCTTCAAAAAGCATATACATTACAACAATACTAAAACTAACAAGAGCCCGGTTCTTTTGACACCAATGTTGGTTGTCATTATGACACCGGCCGTTTGAGCTCCTTATAGTGCTCTGTTATACCCAGAAATTTTTCTTACCCCTTTAGTAGTAACAACTTCAAGGTCCAACAGAGTTCCGTAGCGGAGTCAAATGGCCCATGTCATAATATGACACCCAACTTTAGTGTCAAAAGAAAAGGGCTCAAAGGACAATGGCTTAAGTTATCTAATGAAAAACTCCATTTTGATGGTAAGTTTCTGAGACCTTAGCAAGGGGATCGACTTCATCACAGCAACCTACTGCAGCTTCCTTGTGTGGGATTCCAACACTGCCAAGATCCCATCAAAAGAAAGAGAACATGGAACTTTGATTAGCCCAATGCCTTATATGTTGGTTTGTGTTTAAGTCTAATGACAATTTGGGGTTTTGAACCACAAGTTTGAGCTTTTGGTTGAGTTGGTTTCTTAGCATGGTATCAAAGCCATGTTGACGTAGAGGTCATAAGTTCAAATCTCATTAACACTCAGTTTAATAAAAAATGTAGGAGTAGTATTCACATGCAATGCTCAAACAAACATGCATCACGTGCACATGAAGGGACATGTTAAAGACTTAAATATAATGACATTTCTGGATATTCAACCACAAGCTTGAGCTTTTAGTTGAGTTGGTTTTCCCAACAGTTTGTGTTTTTGATAATCACCCGATGCAGGATAACTTAACCTTATGTGTAATCAATTAAATTCAATAATAAATCACTCTCGTGGCATACCTGAAACCAGCAAAGTCTGTGCAGGAATAGACCCTAAAGAATTCCTTAATGTTATCTACAAGCAACGGCACGTATATTCCATTATATCCAGTGTACCTAAAGGCAGGGTTATGTAAGAGAGGTCCTTTACTATGTCCCACTGGATTAGAGACAACACCGAAGATTCTTGTGTCGGCATTCATATGCTCAAGCTGATAAACTTGCTTAATGCTGTTGAGAGGGGGCAGGCCAGGGGTACATTTGCCATTCAGAGATCCACAAACAAAGAAAGCGCCGTATTTGGGGCCGAGTAATTGGCTTATAAGTCCTCTATCCCCCACTGCCCTAGCAATTAGAGGTACCTGATAATATATATATATACATATTGATTGATTATTGACTAAATGAGTAATCATTACACTCTCCATTCTCTTTCAAGTCTCAGATCATTCTAATGGCAGTACGAAGGCAGTGAAAAGATAAAAGTAAAAAACAATATAAACACAGTGAAATATTATCTGCGAAGCTACCTGACAGTGGGTAAGCATATGGAAAAGGGGGGCAACCTCAGTGATATAAGCAACATCAATCAAGAGTTTGATAATGTCGGCGCCGGTGGACTGCAGGTTTATAATGAGGTTCCCGAGCTTCTCCGCCGTGGGCGGCGGTGCGCCGCCGTTGACGTAGGTGGAGACGATTATCTTGCTGTTTGATCGAACGCTCATCAGCTCATTCATCGCCGTATTAGAAGCCGCCTGCGAATCCAAATGAATCATCAGCATATTATCCAAATTCCGAAGAAATAAACTCCATTAATGATGAATCAATTTACTTCGAGTGGGACTTCAACAAACTCAACGTCTAACTGTACGGCCAGTTTCAGGATCTGCAAGCATCTGCTCTTCCAGTCACCTCCTCCGCAGGAACTGTTGTTGGGCCTGCCACAACGAGGTGGCCCATTAGTAAAAACACGACCATGGACCATCATCAAACAGCCCACATCCACACCAAAGTTTTTGTACCAAATATTTTAAAAAATAAAAAGTGAGTAGTCGAAATTTATTTAGAAAATGGTAAAAGATTGTGGAAAATATATTATTTACTTTATCAGGTAAATAAAGAAATAAAACAATTATTTTGAGATAAATTAAAAAGAAACTAGAATAATTAATTCGATACAGAAGGAGTAGTGTAGTCCATATTTGATTCGGCACATAATATAAGAAAAATAAAATTTTGTGATTGAAAATGATGAGACGAAGACTATTACTCCGTATTTCAAAGCGCAGAAAGAGATGTGCTTAAAACGGAGTAAAGATTTTGTAAAATGCAAGTTTTTTTTATAGAAAATGAAGTTTAAATACATAATTGAAATAACGTTTAAAGTTCAGATACCACTAATAAAAATTACCATGTACTCGTATGTTTGTGAGTCAAATTCTGCATATTAACATTTGAATGAACAGTTTTCCATATTTATAATGTCTACATAGACATTAATGTTAAAAATTGGGATCAAACTTAGATATCCAAGCATGACTCCAAAATTTTTCATTATTGTACACTTTTACACTAAGTTTGGTTCAAGAAATTTGAAACGGGAAAGAAAAGAAAATGAGATGAAATATAATTTTTTCTTATTTAGATAGAGTGGAAAAGAAATGAAAAGTGAAAAAAAGAAAATGAAAAGAAAAAAATATATTAAGAGGGAGAAAAATCAAATTCCTCCCATTTTGGTGAGAAAAATTAAAGAAATCTATTTTCTTTCACTTTCTTCAAAATTTCTTGCACCAAAGATAATGAGAGTGACTTCACTTGAGGACATTTTAAGTACTCCGTACTAATTTGTAGGCACACGGCCACGGAAGTGACGGAACCAAGGTCTAGAAGAGTTCCGAGTAACAACTAACAACAAAAAAAATGGAGGAATAATTGGCATCATAAAGTACCGAGTACTTTAAAAAGAAGATGAAAAATTTATTTTAAATCAAGAATAATTTTTTTTTGCAAGAGGACAATAATCTTTTTAGTGTGTTGTGTACGTAAAAAGTAAACTTAAGACTAATTTTGAAAAGTTAAATAAAAAAAGTTACGGAGTAAAAGGTAAACTTGAGACTAATTTTGTAAAAGTCAAATTTAAAAAGTGAGAATTTAATAATGATTGATTGCTGAGCTCACTCGCTGTTTTCTTAGCTTATTGTCACTATTAGGAAGGAGTAATAGTGTACTCGAGGACATGGCTTAATTGGTCGAGAGAGTAGTGCTATAGAAGTTCATTGCAGATTTAAATACGGACAATTACAAAAAAGAATGACCATACTATACATGAAGTTCTTGTAAGTGTCAAGATTAATTACTTTCAACCTATTGTCCGAATCAGTAGAGATCTAGGATTAGAGTATAACCTGAGTTAATAACCTCTTTTTAATAAGGGTGAAAACTATCAATTTTATCGAGAATTAGAATAAGTAGAAACCGTCAATTTTATGAAACGAGAACCGTTAGTACCCCAATTGGGATCAATGTTAATTATGTCATGCCATTGAAACCCTTATTCCAAAACGTGAAACCACTCACCTCGGGCGCCTCTCATCCCATGCTCGAAGTGATTGTGAGAGGAAGTAAATCATAGTAAGTTAATCCGCAATAGAGACGGTGACCAATGATCACTGTGCACAAGGAGGCTCCTTCATTTTTTGAGAGGTTGCTCCCACACTGTCGCGGTGAGACACGATCTTTGGTATCCTATTTCAAATTCTGACTCGGAGACCAGTTGTGTCATCCATGCGGGCAATAAGGAAACTTTAACATCATGAAAATGGGATATTTTTAGTAAATACCAATACGGAATTAGGGAGAGTTGTTGATACTTCCGGCCCCCACTACCCACGAGACTGGTGCGCCACCTACCCACCTCCTCACTCTACCACCTTAATCAATGATCAGCACATTCACGTGTAACCAATTGTCTATTTTGAAACAGACACCCCACGACTCATTATTTTCTCTTTCCTTACCACGTTTAAATTAAACAAAATGTACTCTTTCGTCCCAATTTATATTATTTGTTTTGATTTATAAATTATATTCAAATCATTTTATATAAAAAATGATGCATAATTTAAAAATAAAATTTATATATTAATATACCACATCAAAAAGTCTACAAAATAAAACTAGTGGTAATATTTTTATTTTATTTTATTAAATAACTATTAAAAAAGGAAAAAAAGTGGAAAAAAAGTGAATAAAATTTAACACTGTGAATAGTAAATGAATAATTTAATTCGGTACGGAGGGAGTAATAAATCCATCAAGTTTAGCATTGATTGTTATCACAAATTATTTTTCACATATACAATAATTATCCGTGAGAGTTTTTTTTATGAGATCTTAATGATGTCAGCATTTGTGCCATTCTTGGAAGATTTGTAACATGATTCTTAACTTAAGGGAATGCATCTTAGACATCAACCTCTAAAACGTCAAAAAATAAAATAAAACTCACACGCAAAACATGTTTATGAGTGTTTGAACGGACGCCGAACATTTTGTGTTAAGAATTTTCGGGTCTATACTTTTTTTGATAGACTAAATTTTTTTTCATTACTACTGTTTTGATCATTTATGATCTAGACAAAAGATATATTCATTTCATTCAAATTTTGATGTATCATCAAAGTTATAGTGTTCGTTTAAATTGAATGGAGAGAATAACGCACACCCATGGCGCGGACACATGTTTTTGTGTCTATGTAAAAACGGGAGATTTGTTTGAAAATGAGTAAGACAATGTTTGATTTCTCGAAATTTAAGAAAAAAGTTTAGGAAAATTTATTTGATGCTTAAAAGAGATTTATATTCTGATTAGAAAACCGGTGCAATTGTCAGAACTCAAATTCAAGTTTATCCTTGAGACACCCAGTGCAATCATCAAGATTCAAATTTCACGTTTTTAATTTGCATTCCGGTGCAATTGTCACAATTCAAATCCAGATATGTCCTTGTGACACCCGATACCAACCAGAGTTTGAGCTCAATTGTTATGAAATGTCACTCTAGTATGAAGAGAGGGGGGGTGGCGAATACCTGCAAGAGATGATGGAGGGCAACGTTCTGTGTGCGATGAGGTGGCGGACGCGGGAGGAAGACAGAGAGTGGACGCAGAGCTCGACCAGATCGGCGCCTTCTTCCTTGGCTTTGCCCATGGAGGCCAGCATCTCCTCCATGGCCATGGTGGTTTCAGCTTCCAGAGTGGTGTACACCACCAAGTCACTCCTCCTCCTCCTCCAGCCCATATATGCCCACCCCGCAGCAATAATTCCCCTGGTAACAGTAATAATTCAAGAAAAGACAACAATAATATTTAGGCGCAGGACGTACAGGGGAGAGATAACTAACTTACTGATCAGTTGGCCTGATAAAAGCAGGAGGGGAATTTGATGTGTGTGTGAGTACTAGCTAGCCATGCCCCCCCACTTATATAAGTACGACCTCAAGACGGGGGCAAAAATTTTCTCTCATATGCCAAACTTATAAGAATCCGTCCAATGAAATGCCAGCAATTTATACACTCTCCATCCAAAAGTCAAATTATTTTTACTTCTTTTTTTTCATCAGTATCAAAACAATTTCGGGCATTTCTTTCATTTTTCTTTTTTAAAGAAAAATACTATAGCCTTAGAAATTCGAGTCGCGCATTTTTTTGGTTTTTTGCGGGGTAATCTTTTTTTAAATATAATTTTGTGAAATCAAAGTTAAAAATTTTTTTTGAGAGGGAGAGTGAATATTAGTTCCATGGTCATTATTTTTGATACGGAGTAAAAACAAATACTCCATAGTATTATTTTAACATACACAAATAAAAAGTGTGACAAATGGTTCAAAAAGAATAGACATCCCCATTCACGTGGTTCACTAACAAGAACCAACAGAGGGACTCTACCCATTGTCTGTGTCATAAAACAGAAGAATACATACCATGGTGATCCATGAGTGCATAACCTGGCTCAACCTCCATAGCTGGCCGGACCAAAACACGAACGTCTCGGCCAATACTCATNGAAGAAAAGAAGCTTAATTAAAAATCTGTTTTTTTCTTTTGTCCGATGCCGATTATAGCGTATGTTGTTGCTACATTAATAAATTTCTCAATTACTAACACTTTCATGCATTGAGGAACTACAATCAAGAAAATAGGTGAAAATACTGATTATGATATGATGATGAACCTGAGCAATGATAATGCAGATTCCAGGTGTGGTGTGGGTCTTGATGCTGCTCTGAGGGACCTTGTCCTTGTATAACAACTTTCAGTGTTAAAATCACTTATCAAAGGAGTAATTAATTGCATTAAATGCTATGGACCACAAGAAAACGCTATAAAATTTATACTCCTGATTCGACTATATTATTCTAATATATATCTAATAAAATATTTAAAGATAAATTAAAAATATACAGTTTAGTGAATAGTGGAATGGTAAAACAATAGAAAAACACTCCCGCCATGGTAAATAGGAGTAGTGCAATTGGGAGAAAACAAGGAGTGTAGTTTCTTAATCTGCAATTGACTGCAATGCAATTATTAACAGGATGCAAAAGACAAAAATTATTTCTTTTTCCACCCATTCCCCTCAAACCAAACACACCCTTCCTTAATCCACTTGCCCATTATAGTCATATTTTTTCCAAAAGTTGTGAGCATGAAGGACCAAGCCATGTGAACCAAACAATCATACTTCAACCAACAATAATAAGCAATCATCTCTATTTTTACAACCCGAGTTTTGTTCTAGGCAATTGTCATTCATCCATATATATATATATATTTAAAGTACTACTTCTTTCATTCTTTTTAAGTGACTATTATGTTTTCCCTGATACATTAAATAATAAATGAATGAAGACCTACATTCGTTTATTTTTTAATATATCAAGAAAGTCATAATGGTCCGTTAGAAAAAGAACATGTGAATGTTGAGTCACACCCAAAATATATGCAAGGTAAAGGCAATATATTATCCCACCACTTCACTATACCATATATACCAGAGAGCACACAAATCATGAATAAAGAATATCAAGCACATCTGTATCCACTCCATTAAAACACTTTTACAGAACAACTAAGTAAATGGACACAATTCAAACAGTGTGCTAGATCACATTTAACTTTAACTAAGCATACATCAAATTTCAAAATTCGATAATAAAAAGCTCTTTAAAATACTCCGTATTAGCATAGAGCAAAAACAAACCAAAGTTTCTATGGTTACCTTTCCTAGCTTTTCATTGCAGTAGTATTATACACAGGCAATATCTTTTGAAATAAAGTTCTGGCATTTGTATTATTGTATCAATTTATCAAGCACAATATACTCAGCTGCCTCCTGCCTTAGGAATATGCATGAGCCAGTTGTCTAGAAATCACCTAGAAGCAACTTAATTGAGTTAGAGCCAAATCACTGTCTAGTCTCTCCAAAACAAACCCCCTTCACCATGTCAAATTATGTGGCTGGTTTTCCTAATTAGATCCAAGAGCATTTCCATCTCGATGTGGCATGACAACGTTAACTATTAACGATGCAATAATTCATCATATTTTGTCAAAGTAGGAAACACTATATGAGTGGCCAAAAATGACAAAATAGAAAAATATAATTGCCGAGATGTTTGTGGAAACTCAAGTCGTAGAAAAAAGAGGGAACATAACCACATAGTACCAAATCCTTTTCCCACTAATCACCAAAATTAAGTGGGTACAACCAATAATCCTCTTTTAAACCATTAGAGGCACACACAATCATCAAGTAAAAACTTGGAACACCAACATCGCAATTACATCCACTGAAAGTGGAAAGACATAGCAGAAACGCAGCAGAATACTAAAATACCGACATATAGAGGCCAAATACCACTTTTGGATATTGAGAAGAGCATGTCAGGATCAAAATGCTAAAATTTCATCCCGATCAAAGTTCATTTGGTTGTAGTTTTGAAGCTGAGGTTTGGAGCTTGAAGAAGTAGTGGACTGTATTGCGTGAAAAGTTCCTGGTGTGAAAACAAGACCAAAAATCGGAAGGTGGTGCCTTGTGCCAAAAGTTTTCGAGGCAAATACTGGCCATGGAGCATGTCTTGTTGGTGTTAACATGGTTACAAGATGGTGCGGCCTAACCGATTGAAGATCCGCGATCAATGCCTTCTATCGAAAGTCTTTCTGACAATGAGAAGATCAGGCGAAAATGCGACACGTTTTGCAAGGTTGTAGCGGTAGTGCAATATGGCTTGCAGATAAGGTCACGAGTTGTGTTGTCCTTGAATTGAGGGGAGGATTGTTGGGTAACAACAAGCACAACCCCACACTTTGGATGGAGAAGAAACAAACCAAATTATAAGTGTTCATCCAACTCGAGTATTATGAGGCCTTTTCAAAGGTATCAAAAAACAAATCATGAGGATTTGATTCAAAACAAACAATATCATACTAATGAGGTGAAGGTAGGAACAATCCCAACAAATGTGCCCCTTGACATCACAAAGTAAAGTACTATTGATGCAACAGTTCTTGATATTTGAAACAAAATTACTGGATATTTTGTCACATGACCAGTGGAGGTCCTTGCAGAGAGATCTTATTTCAGAGATAAACACAGTCCAAGTACTGGACTAATGACCATAACAATATGATGAAAGTCAACTTCAATAGAAGCCATGAGAAAAACTATTACAGAGCAGAAACACATAAATTGCCAACCTTCAAAATCCAGAACCATGCAAATCAATCTAGTACATTGACCTTATCAGTTATCACTTGAAGAATAATGACAGTAAGAAAACAATTCTTGAGAATGGAGTTAAAGGGAAACAGGCCTTAGAGATTGCAGTAAAGCTTTACATCTCCTGCTCAATTCTTCGGATTATGAGATCCACTGCTGCATTTGCTGATGAAAATGCTCCATGAAAGCTCTCTTTATAGGAAATGGACTCCAAATCTTTAGCCATCTTCAACAATATCTCACCTATCTCCATCTGTTTCTCCATTAATGATTTACAGAATGAGGCGGAAGCCACCTTGCTAATTTCCAAATTCGCATCTTCCCGGCAGTACTCATCATCCAACCACTTGTTGAGAGTAACTCTCAGCCATTCCGACACCTGCAAAAACCAATTGAGTTTTGTTCTCTTTCAGTATGAACCGGCGGAAAACTCCAAATCCTTTTCCGACTACCACAGCTTAAAATTTTCAACAAATTGGGAATGAAATCAAAAAAGGAAGGGGACTGAAATCACCTCTAACGCTTTAGATGGTTCCGTCCAGTGGATTGGAACCCTAAGCTCTTCAACGAACTCCTCTGGTTCTTCGTCTCCGCTGCTCTTCGCGCGCAGAAGCGAGAACGATCGCCTGAGGCTTCTCCGATTAAATTCGACCGGAAAATGGAAGGCCGGCGCAAACGAAAATCCTCTCGCCCGCCGTACTGTACTGTTGGAAGGGATATACGCTACTGCGTTTAGAATGGGAGCGGAGGAGAAGAGAGAAGCCATTTCTATCGTGGAAATGGAAAGTGATTCCAAAACTGAACCGATTTGGCGGGGGTGGTATAATTGATAACCCCGATTAACTAAGAAGGGACTATTTCTTTCCGTCTCTATGGTTCAGATGTCTGAATGGTTAAATATTATATAGAGTCTGAATGGTTAAAACTTTTTATCTGAATTGACCAGACATTTGCCTCTGAATAATTAAACAATATACTAGCCCTTAATGGTTCAGACATTTTACTGGTTCAGCATTTAATGGTTCAGACCTCTTACTGGTTCAGCACTTACTTATTCAGAAGTTGTCAAACAGCCCCTGAATGGATTGACACGTTCAACGTTAGACCAGAAATCTGTATTCGCTATTCAATGGAACAGGCCCCCAAATATCGAGGCCCAATTATTTTAGCAAAATGAAGCAATAATGCTCTATTATAGTAAGCCCAATAGACAATAGGTCCTACCAATTAATTGTACATTTAAGAAGCCTAGTAGGTAAGAGCACTAGTAATGGGTTTGAAGTCCCAGGGCTTCAAACCGGGGCTTCAAATCTTCTCTCTGCCACGTCAGCTTTAACTTACACCCAAAATTCACTGGAAATGGGTTTGAAGCCCCGGGGCTTCAAACTGGGGCTTCAAACCTTCATTTTTTACATTTTTAAATAAACATCTTCTAAAATTAAATTAATAACTTTAATTATTTAAAAGAATTGAAATGATAATAGTTTGTTAAAAAAATGCATTCATTAGAAAAAATTACATTCATTAAATAAAAAAAATTAAATTCATTAAATAAAAAAATTACATTCATTAAATAAAGAAATTGCATTCATTATAAAAAACTACATTCATTAAATAAAAAAATTATATTTATGACAGTATAAAAAATACTTGAATAATAATTTTTTTTAAAAAGATGATAGATAGAGAGAAATTTATATTTGTGTTAAATTTAATTTAATTTATAGAGAAGAAAAGAGGGAAAAAGAGAGGGAGAGAAGAAAAAGAAGGCGTCAAATCAAATTTCGTCAAACTTATAACGCGGAAAATTTAACGCTGGTTTAACGGGGGAGGGGGGCGGTGTTTAACGCCCCCCAAGCGTGAAATGCTCCTTAACGCCCAGCGGCGTTAAGAGTATACCCACTGCTCTAATAATTAATATGGTGACTACTCATTTGTACTTAGCACTTACTAATACCCTTCCCTCCTAATAAAACTCTCGATTTGACTTGACACAAATTTTTAAAAAAATAAAAATATGTGGTTAAAAGAGGTTAGATGCGAGTCCGGTTTTGAACCGATACCGGTAATTCTGACACCCAGTCTGGCGGCGGGGGTAAGGGAACATGTGAACACGTACTGGTTCTAGGGAAGAGGGGGCAGTGCCGGAACCACCGTCCATCGGTTCTGGGGGCCAGTTTCGATTCTGGATTTTTTTGAGCTAAATGGTGGGCCTCACGTCTGAAAAATAATTAGAGAGGCAAAATTACATAGATGCAACCACAAAGGGAAGTGGTAATTCCGACGAATATTTTAGTATTTCTTCTTAAATTGCAATTAGTACTGCGTATTACTCCGTAGTTTTTTTGGATAAGCAAAAAAATAATATTATATATTATAATTATAGTTGTTACCTATTATAGTTAGAGTTATTATTATATAATATTACCTTATATAATTAGTCATTAATGTGGAAGATTTTAGAATATATTACTCCACCAATAAATACATACTTTGTATTCTTCTTTTATTCATTCATTCAATAAAGCGTTATTTATTATTTTACATGGTATCGGAGCCACCGTTCTTGGTGACCTAAATTTCTCCGCTTTCGCTTCTGGCGGGCGGCACCGCCATTAACCGCCGCCCGCCGAATCATTGTTTTCCTCTGACCCAAATTCTTCACCATCTCCTGAAACTACAAAGTTTTCTAGTTTTTTCTGTTGTCCGACGACTTTAAAAAAAGAAGAGGTCTAAATCAATTCCTACTCCACCAAACTACCGGCCTCTCCTGGCGCCAAGATTGCACCTGTTTACTCGAGAATAACATGAGGCACAATTAGTGGGTAGATCTTCGGTCAACATGCATCTCCAGCAGTACCTCATTCCTTATATTTCTTCTTTAGCCCAGTCGTGCACGACTCTAGCGCGCGTCAACCTTCTCCCTCTTTTGACGTCAGCAACATGAGTCTGTTCGCAGCAGCTTTTCTCCTATCCTCATCAGCGCCTTCACATCTCTTTCCTGGCAATCTTTCTTCTCTTCTAGGCCGGATGCATTCAGTCTACTCTAGCCGAAGATATGCCTCTAGCTTCTGATTACAATTCTGGTTACGATTCAAGTAAAGTTGGCGTTCAATCTTCATTGTTCTGTACGTTGGGAGCATGTTAAATATATCAATTATTTAATATATTTAATATTATATATTATATTTATGGTTGTTACCTATTATAGTTAGAGTTATTATTATATAATATTACCTTATATAATTAGCCATTAATGTGGAGGATTCTAGAATATATATTCCTCCACCTATAAATACATATTTTGTATTCTTCTTCTATTCATTCATGAAATAAAGCACTATTTGTTATTTTACATGACTTACGTTTTAGTGTTATTTAGTGCAAATATTTCATTATCTTTGTCTCTATAAATCATTAGGAGGCTCGTGACACTCCCTTGTCGCCTAGTTCTCGTCCCTACCCATTGGAGCCTTATGGTTCCACAGCCGTCCCCAGGTGGCAGATTCACGTGGGAAACAACAATGTTAAGAATATTGTCTCTGTAAATACTTTGGTCTTGTTTGGGAACAACGTTCTCGATTAGCTTTAGCATTTTGGATAAAATTTTAATGGTGTAAATTAATTTTGAAAACGCTAACGCTAAAGGCTAGCGTCAGCAGCCTTTTCAAAACGATAACGCTAATCTCTAACGCTGATTCCAAACGGAGCTTTTATATATAATAGGTGGAAACTTTATCCAATGCTAGTCAGTTTAAAACTAAAACTTAATTCACTTAATCTCGGATAATCGTCTCGCTGGTTTAGCAAAGAGCGGTCTTTTCTTTTTTTCTTTTTTTTTATTTTTGGGAAAGGGAGAGTAGATTAAATAGGGTTGGGCCGACAAGAAGAGGGGTCAAGGTCAAGGGTCCCATGCATGATAAGCAAGCGGGTTAGGTGGGACCCTGGAGTTTTGTTCTTGGCCATCGTCTTTGATTAGTCCTTGGACTGGACCGGGGCATTGAAGAGTCCTGCGGATTAAAGGACCACCCATCCGTCGAATCAGACCGGTCCGGAAGATAGAGTACTAAAATTGGTTAAATCTTTTGACGACGGATTTGGTAAAATTTAAGGACTAAACTGGGAACGGATTGTCTGATTCCTCTATGCGAGCGAGGCCTTGTTAGTAAACCGTATTTGGATTTAGATTTTTATTTTTATCTCACTATCTTCTATTATTTATATTTATCTTGTTTGTATGTCGAACATATATGCCTCGTTATGTGTGTGTGTACCAAATGGTTATTTGAGTAAAAAATTAAATGGAAGTTAAGAATCATGACTACCTCTCTTAGGAGGAAAACACGGGTTCAACATTTTTTACACCCTTGTTGACTGCTTGAATTAACTACATACTCCACCCGCGCACATGATGTGAGTGAATTAGCGAACACATTTGCACACCAGGTGGATGCGCATTTACAGTAACAACTTGCATAGTCTTTATCATGATCAACATATATATAGATAATTTGGTGAGAAATTTTCCGACTACACCGAATTATTGGAATTAGTTTAGTCCATAGAAAGTTCTTATGAATTAATTAGATCAGGCCAGCGAAACGCAACCTAAAACTTACTAGATTGACACATAAAATTTCTCCAAATTTTGTTACACTTTATAACTTAAGCATACATTTTAAAATCAATCCCACACCCCATCATTACTAGCACAAAAACAAAGGCCTAGTAGTAGAGTTGATTCGCTCAAAAAAAAGATGTCATTATTAGATACTTCGTATTAAGAGCATGGTGAGGATAATTATTCGGAGTTGATGACAATTATTGTTGCTCACTTTTGTTTTGCGAATGTTAATTGGAGGTGATGACACAAGTGCTACTTATGATTGAGTGGAGCAATTATTAATAATCCCATGATGCTACACAACACAATTATGGAATCTTGTCACACAACATCAATGACGTGCCCAAACTCGAGCAGGCCGGAAAACAGGAGATACGATATCACAAACACTTTTTTTTACTTATAACAATACCTATCCGTCTCAAAAAAAAATCTAGTTATTATTCACATGTTGAATTATATTTTGTCTCAATTTTTTATCGACTATTTGATAAAACAAAATAACATTTTCACTATTTATTTCTAGAATGGAACCTTTTTTATATCTTAGTTCTACATCAATTTTTACTTATGTTGATTTGAAAATAAATTTGATCAAACATCGTAAATCAAACAAAAACCTTATTTTATGACAGAAAGATTAATATGTATTGTCGTTCTTCTCTCACTTTATTATGACATCGAGTCATGATTTTGATTTCCTATAATACTGCATTGAACTTAAGATTGATTGTCTGACCCTTATACCCTCACACCAAGTCTGAATATATTTCCTACTCTTTATCTAAAGTGTACTATGCATTCTGGGAGTAAAAAAACCTCCCCTCCTCTCTATCACAAGTTATTTATAGAGTAGAGGAGTCAAGGAGGGTAAGTGAAAGTTGCCCACTAGCAGACAAGCAAGGGGGCAACATCCATTACTGTCTAATCAACATATCATAACTAGAATACATATTCAACTAGGAAACAAAGAACTTTATTTATTAATCTCATGAATGACGGGTGATGGGTCCCTCTACGGATCTCATGGCGGCAGATCTGCCCATCCGTGACGCCTAGCCATCTCCTCGAAATGCGACCGGTCAAGCATGATTAAAACGTTCAACACTTTTACTCTAGATTTCTTCATACCCGGAACCGGTCACACAACCAGAGTGGTGACTGATCATCCAATGTTTGACTGGTCACCCGGCACCGAATGTCAAAATGTCACCAAGCTCCGCCTCTAAAAGATGACTTTCATGATTGGCC